TAAAAATGCAAAATAGCAACAGAAGATGGGCTGTGTTCTCTTCTGTTGTGCCACTTGACACGTTGTATTTCCCTGGGCAAGTCACTTTATATGTTAAAAGAGATTCTGGTAAACATAAGATAGTCAACATTCCTCTGGCACTTCCATATGCTAAAAATAAATTAGATTAACACAGGATGGGAGAAAGAGTCTTTGTTTTTGTATTTGTTTTTTAATCTGGAGTGCAGAAAAACCTGTGTCCTAGGTTTGGTTCTGCCTCTAGGTAACTGTATGCTACTAAATATGTCTCTCTCTCCATTTTAAATACATACCTCTATCTCGTTTGTAAAGTAGATGTAGGACTAGGTGATTTCTCTAGTACCTCCTAGCTCAAAATTTTATTACTGAAAAAAAAAAATAGTGCCTCTAGGCTTCTAATTTAAATGCCAGGTTTCCACCTGATGTAAATTCAACTGTCTGGGTTATAAGCCAACTACAAAATAAGGTTTATAATGGAAACAGCTAGTGACCCTTGGCAGCATCAATGCTAACAGTTCCCGCTATAATATTCAGTTACCGCTCATATCCCTGGGCAGCGACTCACATGTTATGTAACAGTGACTATTGCAGGATTACCCAATCCTTTCACCTAACCCTAATTACACAGTCTGCTTGTGGCTCCTATAATACCTAGTTCTCTTCAATGACGCCCTCCAGTGTAGATGCGGCTGCCACCGCCAAACCCAGTTCTTGATGGTTTAAAATAACAGTTATGTGCAAATTGCAAATACCACCCTTTTTAGAGTACATTATTTTTGCTTTTCCTTCTGCTCCTTTCTAACTGGCAATGACTTCCTGCCCAAAATGACCTAGCACTAGGAAAAATTCTAACAAATAATAAAATGCTCCAGTACAGGTACAGTACATACCGTACTCTCGTTTACAGCACAGACCTAGTGAGAAGCTCCAATTGGAAAGATCAGAGGAAAGGAAGAGGGAGATGTTCCACGTTAAATACAACAAATTCTAAATTAAATAGGACTGACGCTTATTTTGGGCCTTCACATTTAACCTGTACTTTCTTTGTTAAGTATAAATGTTTTAACTCTCAGCAAAAAATATCAAATTTAGAAAATAAAGCATTTTTATTACAGAATTAATATGGAAAGTAGGCAAATACCATGTCTGATGCATAAAATAATAGACATTTCAAGATGTGCATATCATCTGAAAGTTTAGTAATTAGAAACATGTTCCTCAAAATATAACAATCCAAGAATATATTTCTCATAATATAATTTTTACTTCTTTCTAAAATGTTTATATTCCCATTTTAGAAAACACAGGTAAATGGAACAACAAAATACAAACCACAATAGTAATAATATATCAAATAATCTATTTTTTCAATGCATGTTTCTATTAACATGTCATTGTATTTATAAACATTACACTGTTTTTATCAATGAATGTCATAAATATTTATATTTGTAAAAGCCCTTTGTGAATATAATAAATTGTGTGTATTTTATTAATCATAATAAAATAAAATTCATACATTTTCTCCTTGTCTGAATTTTATTTTGTATCCAAATTTTGTCAGTATGAAGAATGAGGAAAACAAAAATATTCTTTTACAAACATTTTGCCTGTACTTTGGGTTACTTTATTTCTTAAACTACTAATACAGCTTAAGCCACATTCCTGAAGCTATTATATAGATTACCAACTAAATCTGAAAGATAGAGCTAAAATTTAAAATTTAGAACAAATCTCTATACATAAATGGAAATTCTAGTACCAAATTAATGTTTCACTATGAATCCAAAAACCACACAAGGTAAAAATAAAAATGAAACTGTTGATATGATGCAAAATTTTGTATACCTGGGTAATTTATATTTCAAAACAATGTTTAAAATATGCTAAATTCTAAAAAATATATGTAAAAAGAGAAAAATCATTTAATTACATGCATTGTGTTGAATGAAAACAATAGGTATAGTAAGATCTATAAGTGACAATTGTGATATGAAACGAAAACTGTTACTGAAACAAGAGAGTTCCCTGACACCCTGCACAGGATGTAAAATGGGGGTGTAGCTCGTCTGTTCGGTTGCTGCCTCCACTCAAACCTCTTACGGGAGGGGGAGCATGCAAATGGACAGGTGCAGGAGCCCAAGTGGGGCACGTGTTACAGTGCACCCATTTAGCCTTGCCATCTGTGGATGGCTTAAATGTTAGCCAGCTCAGTGGACACTCTACCTTTCTGCAAGGGTAGTCAGCCAGTATGACAGCTTTCTGTTTCCTGAGCTCTTGTCCAGCATCCTGGAGGAATCAAATCTCACATGGCCTTGGAGGATGAATGCAGGACTTTTATTGAGTGGTCTAAGAGGCTCTCAGTGGGATGGATGGGGAACTGGAAGGGGGATGGAGTGGGAAGATAATCTTCTCCTGGAGTTTGGCCGGTGGTTGAACTCATCTCAGTGTTCAGATGCTCCTTCTCTTCTCTCTTTTTCTGCCATACTGTTCTGCCATTTATCTGCTTGTCTCCTCATCTTCTGAATCTGGAGCATGGGGCTCAGGGTTTATGTGGTTACAGGATGGGGGGCATGGTGGGCCAAAAGGTAACTTTTTGTGCACAAAAACAGGAATGCCTGATCTCACTTAGGGCTATGGGTATTCAGACTTAAGGGTGGGGTCTCTGCCGGGGAGCCACCCTCTTTTACCCAGTATTTCCCTGTCTCCTGTTCATATCATTAGAAAAATGGGAACTTCTCAATACCCAAATCGCATATGCAGCCATATTCACAAGCCATTCTGTTGTCTTTTTAAAAGTTCTTTCTGCTTTACAATGAAAGAGATGCTTCTCCTCCATCTCAAGCTAATTTCTCCATTTACTCTCTGAATTCCAGCTCCTTCCTGCCTTCAGGAATTTTGCTCTGTTGATTTCCTGTGTGCTGTATCTAAAGTTCCTCACTCTATACGGGATTTTTCATTAACATTTTAATTGTGTACAAGCCCCTTCCATTTTTAAGGTTTTTTTTTTTTTTTTTTTTTTTTTTTTGATCTCTAGTTATTACCTTATCTCTTTCCTCCCTTTTGAAAGATATTTTTTAAAAAATTAAGTTCATACATTCTGACACTTCCTTATTGCCTAATAATATCTCAGTTCACTGTCATATGACTTCTATTTCCACCATTCAACTTTGCTTGTTATCTCCTTGGTTTTCCCATCCTTTTTTTTTAATCTCTGATCAATATTTTTCTGTTTCTTTGGGTTTCCCTTCCTCCATTTGCCTGCACATAATGATGATTCTCAGGGTTTTGCCTTTTAAGCCTTTTCTGATTCTACCTAGTATCCCTGGGTGAGTTGATTCACGCCCATGACTTCAAGTATTTTTCATAGGCTGATGAATCTCACAGCTTTCTCTCTCGCATAAATCTATCTCTTCAGATCCAGAGCTGTATCTCTCTCTACCCATTATTTCAATCCACTTGAAGATTTTTCAGATACTTCAAGGAACATCTTCAAAACTGAATGCATGACATTCTGTTTTTTGTTTTTTGTTTTCTGTTGTTGTTTTTTTTTTTCCATTTTTTGTAGAGCTGGAGGTCTTACTGTGTTTCCCAGGCTGGGTCTTGAATTCCTGGCTTCAAGTGATCCTTTCACCTTGTCCCCCCGAAGTGTTGGGATTGTAGATATGAGCCACTGCACCTGGCCTGATCTTCCTCTCAATCTTGCTATTCCTGCTGGATTTATTTTCCCTCAGTGAACAGCACTATCATCCTTCTGGTCCCTCAAAGCAGAAAGAGAAACTTGGACATCATTCTGCTTTGGTTTCTCCTTCATACTCAGTTCTAGGTGGTGTTGGTCTATATGTAATTATCTGCAGGTAGGCTATAGCCCCCAGGGCTACACAGGTTACAGTTAAATGCCTATCCTATAACCCAAAAATATTATTATCTTTCCCCATCATAGCCACATAACATTGTTCAATTTGCCAATATGCATATCTGCATCTACTCCAAAACAATAAGCTTTATGTCTGTATTTTCTTTCTTGTATCCTCTGCATCTAGCAATGTTTACCATAGAATAAATAGCTGTTGAATAAACAAAAATTATGTTTTAGTTGTTGAGAAGAGCAGTAGTGATAATTTTTATTTTGAATAGCAAATGTTTATTATAAAATTTCTAAACATATCAAAGAATAAGAGATTTTATTCACAAGTACATGATGATGGCCTTTGTGGGTATCTACTTAATAAAATATGTTTCTAATTTTCTTAAACCAGATAGTCCATGCTTCTAAGTAGTTTGCAATTTACAATACATTCTTCTAAAAAGCTTCAGAAGTCTAGCCATACCTCTGTACCTTCAAAGAGTGGTTTCTTAGTTATAGTCTACTGAGTTTTGACCCATGTGACTCTGTCTCACAAGGTCCCGTTGAATCAACTCAACATGGATATTTCATCAAAAGTGGCTAGCCATAAACTTTCCAGAGGCTAAACAGATGGGCAGATACTGAAACTCTGTCCATTAAAATACTCAAATCCAATTTTTGCCTTTGGGAAGAGACATACAGTCAGTCAGTTATCAGTGGAAGGATTAGCAGAGCCAGATCGTCTGCCTGAGAGCCAGAGGGGACTGTTAGATTTTCAGTGACCACAGATCACATTCTTGTTATTCTTAATGGCAATGAACATAAGTCCAAGCTATGAGATTTTCAGTGGCCACAGATCACATTCATGTTATTCTTAATGGCAATGAACATAAGTCCAAGCTATGGGGTGCTGGGGTTATGTCCTAACAGTGTTCTTTCCTGTGTATGAGCAGGATTGGTCAAAGGCTGTCTTGCATGAGCTAAGCTAATCTTAGTTTAAAACTTGCTAGTTTTTACTATAATGCTTCATTCATGTCATAGCTTATTACTTTCTGTCTTTGAATTTTTAATACTGCATTTGTTAGTTAGACATTATCAACTTTGTAAATATATACTGGCAAACTTTTTTTATACTTTTATGTCACTTTTTCTTAGGTTATTGATGCATTTCCAGAATCTCTTCATTTCTTTGCATAACTGAAAATCCCAGGAGGAAAGATGCCATTTACAATAAGAATGTGATCAGTGTTACAAGCTTCCGTACCATGTCATTTTTTTTGCTTTTTCAACCTCAAAACTTGCCAGAGCAAGGACTTTGTCTCCAGAGCCAGGGTCTGTAGAGGCTTTCTCAAACTGGCTGAGTATAGTACCTGCATTTGCTGACAAGAAGGCCTCATTAGCCGCAGTTAGCTTTTCTCCAAGTTTCCTGAGAGCTGTTAGCATCTCCACTTTCTGCTGTGTGTACAGGTCTCTTTCCAGCTTTCCTACCATCAGATCTCTATCCATCTCTGCGAACCTTGTCCGAAGCTGACCTGGTTGTTTCTTTGCAAATAATCTGATGACCTCTGGGGTTTTAAAGGCCTGGCTGATAGCTGCCTGAATAGCCAACTGCATTCCACTTAGTTCATCTACCAAAGTCATATTTCCAGACATAATTTTCTTCAGTGAATCATTAAATTCACTTAGTTGCTCCAGAGTTTCCTTTTTGGTTTCTTCATATTCATCTGTATCAAGTTCCTCTCTGCATTCCTCCAGATCTTGTAATTGCTGCATTAGTCTATCCAACTGTTCTTCTAAATTCTGCTTTCATTTGCTTGTCTCTGTCTTTCCTCTGGAAGCCATTTTAATCTGTCTCTTAGTACTCTGATCTCGCACGGTGCTGACCGGTCTCAAATTGCAGAAACCTCCAGTTCTTGACGTTCCGAGTGTCATAAACTTGAGGAAAATGAAATTATTCATCAGGACTTCAAAAGGCTCAAAGTTCAAACCACCTGGGGGTGGAGATGGCTTCTTAGGTCCCCGGGATCCCAGCTGTGCCACTGGCCCGCCCGTGAGTCCCAGAGTTCAGGGCCAGGACCAAACACTTTTTTAGCATCCTTAAATACATTTCAGTTTTTGTTCACAATTTTATATTCCTGTATGTGCCATAGTTTTACTTTTCCTTAAGTCTGCTGCTGGAGCTGGAAAATCTCCATTTAAATCTATCTCAAAAAATTTAGTAATTTATCAATAGCATGTTTAAAAATTGAAATTTATTTTTACATTAAAAGATCATGTCTATCGATTTACTAGGGAAAAAATACCGATCTTGAAAAGCAAACTGATCCCACGAAGGGACCAAAATATATTTCCATCATCAGTAGAAATGAAGGAAGAGACTGAGATGCTTAGGTGCCCAAGCCATTCTTATTAGAGGTGCCCAGTACTGGCACTTAAGAAGATGGCTTTCTCTGCATGCCTCAGGCTTGACTCAGCACTGACATTTGCTGGCCAGGCAGCAGCACCGCAGAATGTTCACCAAAGAAAGTTTCCAGATTGACAGCCTGTAGCTAGAATCTCCTTACCATAGCAACCCTGGAGAAGAGCAGATGGTGGTTATAGGTCCCATGCCCTGCCTGCTCTTTACCTACCCTAAGATACTGCATTTTAGTTCTTTCAATTAAATTTGTATTTTTAGTAAGTTTAAAATAGACATGCAAAGATATTGCCTATTTCCTCCTAATTTGCTGAACTTGATGAATGACATTGGCTTAGGCTTTCTTTTTTCTTTCTCTTTTTTCTCTTTTTTTTTTTTTTTTTTTTTTTTTTTTTTTTTTTTTTTTTTTTTTTGAGACAGAGTCTTGTTCTGTTGCCCAAGCTGGAGTGCAGTGGTGGTGCTATCTCGGATCACTGCAACCTCTGCCTCCTGCGTTCAAGTGATTCTCCTGCCTCAGCCTCCTGAGTAGCAAGGATTACAGGCACATGCCACCACATCTGACTAATTTTTGTATTTTTAGTAGAGACGGGGTTTCACCATGTTGGTCAGGCTGGTCTTGAACTCCTGACCTCATGATCTGCGCACCTCGGCCTCCCAAAGTGCTGGGATTACAAGCGTGAGCCACCATACCTGGCCTACATTTAGGCTTTCTAATTAAATTTTTGTATAGATATGGCTTTAAAAGAAGGGTGTGTTTGTGCGTGTGTGTGTGTGTGTGTGTGTGTGTTTAGAACTCTCTGATTTTGGTGAATTGTACGGGAATGAGAAGGAGAAGAACTAGTATTTGGTAATGAATTTTTAAATAGCTAGGGTACCCAGTGATAGAACCAATTGGAACATCCCTATGTCATGATTCTGAACATCTTTGCCTATTGTTTTATTGTGTGTGTGTTTTTTTAAATATGTTAACTTTTGTTAATTCATTTAAAAGCCTGCTCAAAAGTAACACTCAAAACCACTAAGACGTATATATAAATTGTGCGGTTGACTAAAATGAAATTGTTAGTTGAACTTGTAAAATACCAAATAGACTCCATTTAAGGATAAAACCCTCAATGGGAAACAGAGCCCAAACACCAACACTCACACTAAAGGAGCTACAGTTGGTAAACTTTTGCCCTTGTTTGGCACTGATCACACATTCCCAAAAGTTGTACAGCTTCATAGTAGAAATCAGAAGCAAACCAGCCTTAGACATTGGGTGATTTTCAACATTTTTAGGGCATGACAGACTGAAATGTAAGAGCATACAGTACAAACTGTACACTAATAAAATTTTGTCTTGTGTGTGGGTTGGAGTCATTAATTCTCATGGCTAGCCTAAGTTGTAATCACATTCTTGGGGTTTTTATATTTTCCTTTTTTAATAAAGGATCATCTTCTATTTTGTAGGTTTAATCTTAGAAACTTTAGATTCTAGAGAAAAAAAGTAGAAATAGTCATCATAATACAATAAAAACATCTGAATAAACCTTTGGCAAATGGAACACCATTTTCCAAATGATTAGTCAGAAGTCTGTCATAATTTGGATTAGATTTCTGCAGTAGACAGTGGTCAAAACAAAACAAAACCACCACCAACAAGAAAACACCAAAAAATGATACTGTATGTCCACCAATCTAGCACTATTTAGGCTTATCTTTGTGTGGGATTAAGTATGTCTATTACTCAAAGTGAAATTTTAAAGAAAGCTCTACAACCAAAGTGATGATATCAGTGATAAAAACTCTTCCTTTAATCATATCAAGGCTCATATCTTAATGTCATGTGAGTGCAGCAGCTGACTCAAATAACCAATAACCTAGAGTTCAGCTGCTCTAACTTTGTTGCAAGACAGTAAGATGAAGAAGAAAAAAAATGAAGTCCCTTATATCTCATGAGCAAAGCAACTTCTACACATGTTTGAGTCAGTTTCTATACAGATAGTAAGCTCCTAATCTACATCACAGAAATTAGGTTCTCACAAACTAAATATTTTCTTTGCTTTACTCCAATCACAGGGCAGCATATCTTTATAACTATGTTTATGTCTGAAAGAAACATAATTCTTTATCTAGTAGAGTTTCCACTGTGTGAATTTTGCTGATTGCAACCTCATGATGTGATCTGACATATTCTTCTTTCCCTTAAATTTATCATAAACTATCAATATGATTTAGAGTCTTAGTCAGATTCGTTTGATTTTTTTCTTCTTTTTGTCAAAATCTATCCATGAGTAGTGTTTATATACATATGTTTAAATATATAAATACACATATTTATATATTGTTTAAATAGTTACATATATGTGTATACATGTGTATCTGTATATATTTAAATAATATATTTAGATTTGTATACAAATCAAGTACCTTTAGAACTCAAAGATTAAAGATAAAGATAAGGTTAAATGATACTTACATCATCATGATGTGTGGTCCTGCCTGGGCCACAGTTTCTTACCAATATTAAAAACTTCTCCAACTCCGAAAGTTTAAGACTGTGAGATCAGTGATCTCAGTCTGAGATGACCATATTCCAAAGCCATTTACTAACATACTTTTATTGCTCAAAGTTAGTTAGAAGGAAAGCCTGATTTTGATATACAATCAGGTCCATTCTCAGCAGACTGGAAACATCTCAGATAATTGAAGCACCTGCATTGTTCCCTTTGTCTTTGAATATTCTAGAACATTGTATTGCTCCGGCTCTTGTCCCATTTCCTAAAATCTCACTTGCTCAATTCTCCAAATAGGTCTTGCTAAGAAAATGCCTTTTTAATAAAGTGATGATGCCTAGCAAATAAAATAAATACAAATATTTGAAGTCAGACTAGTTGTTTTAGCACATTATAAAGAAAGTCAGCATCAGCTTCATTATTGCATTAACTTTAAACTATCTTAATCCAATTCTCATTTTATGAATAGGTCTTTGGTAAAATGCACCCATTTAAGCCATTTAATAATTTGGAACTTTAAAATATGTATTTATCCCTACTGGAAAATATTAGCTTTCCAAAATGCATCACTTTTAGAGTTTCTCATCCATAGATAAAAAATACAATCCAATCTCCCTCAACTCCCAGATACTGCAGTCATCACTTTCCAAGTACTACACAAGGAAGCAAATTCACTGAGTTTACTTCAGACCTGTCTTTACATCCAGTGTCTTAAGGGCAACATCACTTCATAGGTCAGAGGTCTGCTATCAGGGAATACACAGTGGACAGCCTACAGGACATAGTAGCCAGCAGGAATGCTCACAGACATCTGTTCAATACGTGGATAGCCTACAGGCTTGTTTATATTAAGAGCTCTTGCTGCTAGACAGCAGAAGTAACTCCTCTAGAATCCATTCCCATAATAGTCCCTAAGGCAATGATACACAGCTGTGGAGAGGAAACAGGCTCTTTAATTTGTTAACCATGCCCAGAAAAGAAGAAAACAAAATGCTCAGATGAGACTATAAAGATGTCTTTTAAGAATCTTTCAGAAACAGCTAAAAAAGCAATACAAACTCTCCCCCCACCAATCACATAAGATCATATCATCTAAAGATTCTGATCCCATAAAACTCCTGTATCCTAATTGCTGGAAGACATACTGTTGAAAGATCCCCTTTGGAAAAATTTATATGGTCAAGGAAAATAGGCCAGAACTATCTGGAAGACTGCTGTTAAGATAAGGACATCATTTCCTTAAATAAGGGTCCCAGAGTTTTGAAGCAGAAAATTAGATATTTTAATCAACTTCCACCCTGTGTAAGACATTTTCCAAAACTCATATTTTTAAAAGAGGGTTTCTTGTTTCTTGTGTTTTTAATGTACTTTCTTTTGTTATCAAGAAGTATTTCAAATACATGAAAATTAAGTATCTGGGACCAAGACAGAGCTACCCAGCTCTATCCACTTCCACCAGTTTGCCATACTTGCTTCAACTTTTAGGGTTTTCTTTAAAGCAATACTTATTATAAATGATTGGGGTTCCCTCTCTACCTCTCTCATGTCTTACGTTTTTCTTCCTCCCTAAATTCCCCAAGATAATCACCAACCTGAATCTGATTATTTATTTTTCTAATGCATGTTTGCATTGTTATAACATTACTATAGCACAATGTCCAATGCTGTTGGGCATGTTTTCATATTTCACATAAGTGGTATCATATTGTATATATCTTTTGGTAATGTACTTCCTTAATATTGTAGTTGAGATTTAATTAAATTTTCTTTTCAACTTTTATTTTAGATTCAGGGAGGTTATATGCAGGTTAGTTACCTGATACATTGTGTGATGCTGAGGTTTTAAATACAAATGATCCCACCACCCAGGTACTGAGCATAATACCCAATAGTTAGTTTTTTGCTACTTTCCCCCCACTCCAGTAGTCCCCAGTTTCTATTGTTGCCATCTTTATGTTCATGAGTACCCAATATTTAGCTCCCACTTATTTGGTATTCTATTTTTGTATTAATTCACTTGGGATAATGGCCTCCAGCTTCATCCATGTTGACACAAAGGACAGGATTTTGTTCTTTTTTATGGCTACAT